ATGTACGTGGGATTTGCCATTTTTTACATTCGCTTGCCTCCACGTGAAGACAATGCTGATCCCCAAAGCTGTCAGTACTTTTTCAGTTATGCATGCACATTTCCTGAGATCGACTATTGCATGTCAAAGTATCATATATACCAAAATGAACGATAATAACTTTTGTAGACCACTTTCTCTAGATGTTCTAGAGATATTGTAGGCCAGGTGGTACTTATGTCAGAAAATTTAAAACAAGTAATTTGTACTGGCGTCTGGGGGGGGGGGGACGAATTCAACAGAAATTTGACATTACACTTTTTTATTTCTGTTGTTATTAATAAACATTAATGCCAAAACTTTCCCTTGGGTACAAGGTGTGCTACGTACGCGTGACCAGCCCCACCACGGCGGTCTAGCGGATAACGTACTTAGCTGCTGACCCGGCGGTCGAGGGATCGAATCCCGGCTGTGGCGGCTGAATTTCCGATGGAGGCGGAAATGTTGTAGGCCCGTGTGCTCAGACTTGAGCGCACGTTGATGAACCCCAGGAGGTCGAAATTTCCGGAGCCCTCCACTACGGTGTCGCTCATAATCTAATGGTAATTTTGCTACGTTAAACCCTAGAGATCAGTCAATCAATATGCATTACCATGTGGTCACAACTCAAGGTTTGTGAAAAAAGGAAAAAAAGAAATGGGGCAATCTCCCGCTAATTGAAACCATGTGTAGAAGCGAAGTAGCGGGCCCTAACGCTTACACTGGCGGCAGTGTTGACGCTGGCGCTCATCAAGCGAAAGCTAAGTAAAGGTGCCCTTGACTGCATTCCGAACACGCGATTCACTGCCTAAACATACGGGGTGGCCAGTGAACAGCTGTGCAGTGTGAGCAATTGATTTTTTTTACTAGCAAACGCTGCCTGCATCGACCTTGCGAGACGACAGAGGGGAAGGGGAGCGACAATTTCGCGGTTGTCTTCCTCAGCCTGCACGAGACGCGAGCATGCACAGTGAGGTTGTATGGAGGGACAGCGTCACACAGGCTTGTCAAAGGGCCGCTTGGCATCTAAAAATACGCCAACTGTCTCATTTTGCACAAATTTGTGGGAAAAAACGAGGCAGAGTGAAAACAATAATCTCATAAGTTATTGCAGTAGAAGCACTCAAAATTCACTCCTGGTCATTCACACCGTCTTCATGAGCCAAGTTCTAGCGATCCGCGCATTGGTTGTTCGAGGTATTCTAGAGTAGAGGAAAAAGCGCCTGATTACTGCCTGCCTCATGGTTGACTCAGGGCAGCGCCTTGTATGGGAGTGGGGAAGGAGGGATAAAAAAGTCACAGTTTCACCACAAAGGCGAAGCAATGAATGCGATAGCAACAAATTGGACAATGACGTGCAGAATGGACAGTAGATCGAAACATGCCCTGCGTTTCTCACGCACAAATGACGCGCGAAACACGCTCACAGGTACAGATGCACGCAACAGTTGTTTCTTCGATGTGTCTGAAAAGTGCGCTTTTCTCAAACGGAGACTGCAATGATTACAGTGACATTTGTTTACCCGGTAGCTACAATATAATCGTTCCTGGTAAAGCCCGACGCCAGCCAAGACATACGATTCTCCTCACCACGAAATAAGGGCGCACGAGGGACGGCGGCCCCTTCCTCTAAGCGGGGTGAAGAACGCGGGCAGGATAAGAGCGAGCGCTCATTGTGCACTTCGTTAGTAATGCTGAAAACACGATAATTCCTTCGAGACGCCCATCAGCCGCGGAAAGTGTAAATATAAATGGCTTGCCGTTTGAACGTTGACGTACGTGCTTCGCAGTAGCTCAGTGGTTAACTCTTCGCACTCACGACGCAGAAGATCGAAGTTAGATTCCGCGAGCCAGAGTCTCTTTCTTGATTTTTTTTCTTTCTTGCGTCTGCATATATATAAATACGTATACATACACGGTGAGTGACGGCACCGCCGGCGGCAAGATCCAGTCGAGAGTGTTTATATATTCCCTATCGCAATAAAAGAATAGTGGAAAGATATTGATAAAGAAGTAGGACTGGCAAGTGACCGAAAAAAAAATGAGATAGGAAAGTTGGGAGCCGGTCGAAGAAGTGCATGGACGGGGCACCACACGGCGACAGCTGGGTAGCGTCAGGAGGTCGTGGAGGGTGAACGAGTTGGCGCGAACTACGCTGGCGTCGCATGTCACGGGCGGCACAGCCGTTCAGCATAAAATCCTCCGTACAACTCCCCCACGCATTGAATTCAGACAGACCCCGGAGTTCTGCTGCTCCACAACTTCTCGCAGATCGAACACTATCAGTGTTTTAAGCGACCCTGAATTCGCCGTCCGCGGGGCGCCTCCTCCTCTCCCCTTGCCATGGCACGAGAAGCGAGGAGAAGCGTCTGAAGCAATGGCGCAGTGACGTCACACACCAAGTGATTGCACGCGCTGAGCCCTACGCTCTATGGCTGCGCCCGCCCGCGCCGTCTCCCGCACCGCTCTCAGTGCGGTGACATCACGGCGTGCTGTGCAGCTCGCGCATCCGCGCCGTGGCTGCGTGCGCCGCGCCGCCTTCTCGCACCCCTCTCCCGTGCCGTGACGTCAAGGCGCCATGCAGCTGGCGTGCCTCTTCCCCGTTAGGTTTGCACTCACTCTCGGCGCGTGCCTCTCCCCTCGCCTGACAGCTCCCTCTAGCCGGTACTGCCAACACCGACTAAATTCCAAGGCCGAAAGGCTGCCGCAGTGACGTCAGAGGGTGGAGGCCCAGTTACCCAACTGAGCATGCTCAGTAAGACTTTTTTTTTCACATCTTTTATTCGGCCCAATCAAGCCGCAGCAGCTGCGAGAGCGGGAGCGTTTGTTCTCCTAAAACGCGAACGAAACACCGGCTTTCCGCAGCGTTCGCGGCGTAACTAAGCCTCCACCCTCTGACGTCACTGCGGAAGCCTTTCGGCCTTGGAATTTAGTCGGTGTTGGTACTGCGCCTTCGCACGTGTCTCGCAACCGCTCCCAGCCCGCTCCTCCTCCACACTTCCGCCGCCTGCGCCGCGCTCCGCGGGCCCGCAACAGGGGAGGAGGCGGCCCTCCTGGCAGCCTCGGCCTCTGCCGAAGCCGAAGGAAACTGACTTTGTTGTTGTTCTGAAAGCACGGACACAACTATCCCTCACCGCCGTTTTCCCCGAGAACGGCGCCGGCAGCGCGCTCATCGGCCACTTCGGAGCGAACGCGAACCGGCTGGTCACAGTCGTGATGGTGCAGGACCAAAACCTCATCCTGGCCTACACTCCACATTTGCTTATTGCAGACAAACTAATTGGTGAACTGACAGTTCCTTCATTCGTTGGACCAGTGCCCCTGTTCGGGTATCTCCGCGCAGACACCCAGGACTCCTGCTACGGAGTGGTGACAGTGCGCAGCTTTGACTCTGAAGCCGAACTTCGCCAACGCTTCTACTGGCCGGAAGCCGAAATACTGCACATCCGGCGTTTGGGCACCTCCAACAAGGTGCGGCTCACTTTTGCAGGAAAGGTGAAGCCCGGGTACGTCACCTATGACGCCCTGCTGATCCCGGTGCAGCCACACAGAAAAACTGTACCAGCCTGCAACCAGTGCGGCTCAGTTGGGCATCGACCCGACGCTTGCCCTGGCCCTAAACCGGACCTCTGTGGTACCTGTGGCAACACAGTGCCACTCATAGGTGGTGCTCGCGCACCTCACGAATGCACGCCGAAGTGTGCTCTATGCGCTGGACCCCACGTCACCGGGGACCGGTGCTGTAAGGAACGTACAGGGCACCACCACCAAAACCATCCACTCTTCTACCGAAGAACCAAACCGGCTCCAAGAAACGCAAACGCCGGCGAACACGGAAGCCAAGCAGGCCGACCACCGGGACTTCACCGCAGGGGGCCCAGCCTCCTGCCACCAAACCTCCTCCACCCCGCATCCTGGCGCGGGGGTTCCCGGGCCCTCCAAGCGAGGCCCCACCCCGGCCGGACCTCCCGCCGCGAGGTCCACCTGGAGCCAGGGCCCACCTGCCTCCCCTACATCGCACCCGCCGTCACCCGGAATCCAGCCTGCTGCCCAAGGGGATGCCACATGGGCCGCTCGCGTCCGACAAGGACCCGAGGTGAGCGACTCGGGCGGGGCAGCCTCCCCATCCGGAACCCCCTCGAACCCACCCAAACCTCAAACCTCTCCCGCCCTCACACGGGAACAACTCGAAATTAAACAGCTCCGGGCCCAAGTGGCCTCATTGACCCGTGCAATGGAGGCACTCGCAAACCGCCCGCCTCCATCTAACTCGATACCTTCTGGGCAGGCGCCGGAAGCGATGGATAGTGCCCCCTCGGAACAAAGGGACACCACGGCACTCCTCGCTCCGATTGAGGCACGTCTAAATAGCCTGGAGGGCCAGGTGGCCTCCATAGTAACTACTATCGAGGATCGCTTGGCTGCCGCCCTCCAAACCGTATTCGCCGGAATCCCTGGCATGATAGTGGCCCAGCTGCCCCAACTCGCTTCCAGCACTCGTCGTCCCACCCCAAAACTTAAGCGGGTTAATAAACCTCAGACGCCCCGGCCACTTCCCCAAAGGGCTGAGGCTGACAGGCAGCCTACCATATTGACTGCAACATCTGCAGCAAGCCCCGGACCGAGCGGTGGAGCACCTCTGGATCTCTCTGCTCTCCTGGAGGCTACCCGAAATTCTAATACCCATGATGGCGGGCAACGCCTCTAGATCGCGCCGCGCCCGCGTTAATTCGGACCCTTTCACAATCCTCCAATGGAACTGCTGGGGATTTCTGGCTCGCACTAAGCGGGCTGCTCTCCGGCCCCACTTAGAAACCCATCCCCAATTACCCGCGGTAGTGGCCCTACAGGAACCGGGCGAACACGCCGCCCTTACAAACTATACCGTGTATCAAAGGGACGCGCAAACGGCACTTTGCGTGCATCGAAATTACACCGCCAGTTTGGTGGATCTCGACTGCAACCCGGCTTACTCGTATGCTATGGTGACTCTCCTCCCTCTTAGGAAGCAGGACTCATCCATACACATTCTTAACATCTACAGTTCGCCCAAACTGCCCAACATAACATACGCCGACATCTTTAGCAAAGCTCACACGGTGGCAGGCAAAGAACCACTAGTCATAGTAGGCGATTTCAATGCCCCCAGCTCTCACTGGGGTTATCGTCGGGAGGAACGACGTGGTCGGAAATTGGCGGAACTCATTTCCACCATGGGCCTAACCACCCTGACGGACCCCACACACCCAACCCGCATTGGAAACTCTGTTACCCGAGACCCATGTCCCGATCTCACACTCACCAAAAACATCAAACACGCAGATTGGCTCAATACCGAGGAAACCCTCGGTAGTGACCACTGCATTGTCATTACCACAATCCGGACACACCCCCTTACTCGTCCCCACCACCAAGCGAAACTTCCAGACTGGACCAAATTTCGCTTGGTATACTCTAATCCGACCCCCACAGCTCACCAAGGATACTACACTTGGTCCCAACATCTCGTAAACTCACTCCACAAAATCGAGCAGACGGTTCAACTTTCAGAGGCCACGCCGGCGGTAGACAACCACCTCCTGCATCTCTGGGAGGCTCGGCACAGCCTAGTGCACCGATGGCGCCGACAGAAACACAACCGACAGCTCAAAATCCGCATAGTGGCTCTCACCGTAGAGGCCGACGAGTGCGCGGCCCAGCTCGCCGACTCAAACTGGGTAGAGCGCTGCAACACTGCCGCCACACAGATGTCAAGCCGCAACACCTGGCGTCTCTTTAGGGCTCTCATAGACCCTAGCCAAACACGCACAGAAACACAGAAACACCTTCAGCGCGCGCTTCACGCCTATGCGGGTGACGCGGAAAAATTGGCACAGGCTCTCAGAGACAAATATCTCTGTAGCCAACAGGACCCCATCGGACCGGCGTATTCATATGCAGGCACGGAAAACGCCGAGTTGTATCGTTGCTTTCAGCTCCACCATCTGAAGGCGGCCCTGTCCAAAATGAAACGAGGCACAGCGCCAGGTCGGGATCGAGTGACGGTTCGGCTCCTAGCCAACCTCCCTGACTCGGCGTACATTCACCTCCTCGACTACTTCAATCAGATCTGGGAGGGGCGTGAACCCCTACCGCTCGATTGGAAAACGGCCCTAGTAACTTCCATCCCTAAATCAGGCAAATCTGTAAACATCGACAATCTCAGACCAATTTCCCTAACCTCATGCGTAGGGAAACTTATGGAAGCCATGGTCCGGGACAGGCTCTCTGAATACTTAGAGGCCCGACACACATTTGCAGACACTATGTACGGCTTTCGCCCACATCGCTCTGCTCAGGACATCCTCCTGCAACTCCATCGTGACGTTGTCGAACCGGTCGAACATCCCAGTGACGACAAGGTAGTCCTCGCCTTAGATCTCAAGGGAGCTTTCGCTAACGTTACCCATGACATCATTCTTACCAACCTATCCCAAACAAACTGTGGGCATAATGCTTTTAGGTACGTCCACCAATTCCTCATAGAATGGCAGACATACCTGCGTATTCAAGACAAGGAGCATGGACCGTACCCCCTCGGTACGCACGGAACACCACAGGAAGCAGTCCTCTCCCCTCTTCTGTTCAATCTTGCCATGGCTCACCTTCCCTCATTGCTAAACGATGTCCCAGGCGTGCAGCACGCTCTGTACGCCGACGACATCACGCTATGGGCAACTCAGGGTTCCCTTGGTAGCATCGAGACATGCCTGCAACATGCCGCGTCGATAGTTGACAGCTACGCCCGCGGCTGCGGTCTCGACTGCTCACCCACCAAATCGGAATACGTGCATCTTCGCCCCAAACCGAACGACACGACACAAATTGAACTCACCTTGTGTAACAGGGCCATTCCGGAACGCGACGAAATCAGAGTCCTGGGACTCTTCATACACGAACACCGCAAAATTGACACCACTCTGCGCAAACTACGCACTGTGGGGGATCAGGTGGGCCGCATGATCCACCGGGTTTCGAACAAGCGAGGAGGTCTCAAGAGCCGTGCTGCTCTGCGCCTCGCCAACGCTTTCATGACCAGCCAGATCCTCTATTTGACACCTTACCTGCGTCTGCGTAAATGCGACGAGAATACACTAGACTGTATACTCCGCAAAATTTACAAACGTGCCCTAGACCTCCCCATCTCAACGTCGAACCAACGTCTCGCAGACCTGGGCATGACAAACACGTACGGGGAACCTAAAGAGGCTCATCTCAATAACCAGTACCTGCGCCTTAGTAGGTCTCAGGATGGGAACAACCTCCTACACCGCCTTCACATTTCCAACACCCACAAGGTGGAAGAGCGTACCGCGATCCCCGAAGATTGGCGTGGTGCACTGATCATTCCGCCTCTGCCCCAAAACATGACAAATGGGACTCACGATGGACGGCGTACAGCGCGGGCTACAGCCCTACAGCAACGGTATGGCTCACGCCCAGGAGTCTTCTACACGGACGCATCCGGCCCCCACCACGGTGGGTGGTACACGGCCGCTGTGGTTCACCAAAATGTACCTATTCAAGGGTCACCTTTCGGACACCGGACATCACACACGCGGAGGAGGTCGCCATAGCCCTCGCCGCAGCGGACCCCGCATCTCAGATAATTATTACCGATTTGCGGAGGGCGTGCCTAAATCTCACACGGGGTTGCATCAATGATCGTGCCGCCGAAATCCTTAAGCGATGCTATTATTTAGATTGCCCAAATCCACGCACCGTCATCTGGACTCCTGCTCATACGGGGCTAGTTGGAAACGAGGCTGCAGATGCCTCGGCCCGCGCGCTTAATTACCGGGACCCGCCTCGCCCTCCATCGCCTGATGTTCCAGAACCCAATCCGGCTACCTCTTTCAGAGAAATCACCGCTATGTACAAATCGAACAGTCTCCGCTTCCCACCCCAGCATCGGGCCTGCCCAAGAAGGACGAGCGCTGGCTCCTCCGTCTCTTTACCAATACAGTATTGTGCCCGGCGATACTCAAACATTTCAATCCGGCATTCTCTGGGGAATGCCTGCACTGTGACCATCCGTTCGCGGATACTTTCCATATGGTGTGGGCACGCCCTTCGAATCCGGCGGTCCCGCCACTTCCTTCCCCTTCCCTCCCTACCCGAGAGAGCTGGGAGGCTGCCCTGCTCGGTTGCTCGACCCTAGAGGACCAGCGTGCCCTAGTGGCCCGAGCGCGTGCTGCAGCAGAAGCCACAGGGGTCCCGGACTAGGGACTCCTCCTAGATTTTGCAAGGGGCCAGCCCTTAAAGCCGTCCCCAACTCTCTCCTGTCAACTGAGTGAATAAAGTTTAATACCTACCCCGCCCCTCTCCAACCATGTCAACTATGTCTCGCTCTGCCGTCCTTGTGTGCGCGTGCGCGGCGCCTGAGTCCGTATAGGAAACGTCCGCCGGCTGCCACTCGCTCTCACTTCTCGCTCGCAGTTTGCTGAACGTGGCGATGAACGCAAGAGGGCGAAATGAGCCGCGGATCCCGAACTCCGCGTGCGGGAGGCTGATAGGCGACGTAAACGGCGCATCGCCTGCGGTAAGGAAGGGCGGCGGCGAGACGCCGAACGAAAGCGCATGAAACGAGCCGAGCCCCCCGAAGTTGATTTGGCTTCGCAATGCGATCCTGGGAATCGCAATGGGATCACACGGGGGAGTTTACGTTAACTCACTGGTGTATGCAAACGGATTTTAACTTTACTTCTCCCTCATGGCATCACCCCGTACATTCGCACTTAACCATGTTCACCCTCGGGGAAATGCTTGGAAGTTTTCTTTGTGCTTATTTCTTTTGTTTGGCTGGGGTATTTAACAATTGAAAGCTAGATTTGTTTTAACACGTTTTCTTCAACTTTTTTCGCCCTTTTTATGAAAAGTGCAAGGGCGTTCCTGGCTTTCAGCTTCATACTGAACTTTGTGAGGTGATGAATTTCTGATTTTCTAGTGCTTGGTTTTCAAATTTTGGGATGAAAAAAAAAACGTCATAAAACTCAATTCCTGGATTGCTTTGTGAACTGCTTGACCTTAAGATCCTCCTAATTTTTTATTCGCTCTTGAGATCATCATTGAGAACGCGGAACAACCTCGATGTGGCGCGAATGGAATGAGTCCTGTCCTCAACAGCGATCAGTATATTTGATTGTCGTTTTCTTCCCAGGAAGCCCTAGTTAATATTTTCTTGTACATTATATATATATATATATATATATATATATATATATATATATATATATATATATATATATATATTGATGGTGATTGTGATTATGCAGGGATGAGGACGATGTAAGTAACAAATGCGTTGTCCACAATATATATATATATAAATATATATATATTGTAATGAATCTGAATAACGGACCCTCAGCTGGTAATGAAGAAGACGAGGATGATCGGTGGCTGTAGTAGTAGCTCGCGCACGCTGCTCGCCATTATCCAGACCTGCCTGATAAAGCTCATTTTGCCAAGCTGCGTCTGAACCTTTCTCGACGTACAACACCTCTATTTTAAGTGGTGGAGGAGCCGGGGTTCCCATCAACCTGGAGCTTCGCAATCGGATGCTACTCTCACCGTTCACCATGACTGCTCCTGGCCCTTCTCAAGCTGCCTTACCAACGACAGTCTACTGTACTGGCATGCCTCGGCAACGCGATCCACCATTTTTTCGCGGCAACGACGAACAAGACGTCGAGGACTGGCTCGTCGAGTACGAAATCCTAAGCGCTTCCAACAAGTGGAACGCCTGCGACCAGCTCACAAACGTGCGCTTTTACCTCGCTGATGTGGCCAGCCTCTGGTTCAAGGACCACGAAGGCGAAATCACCAACTGGTCCGCCTTTAAGACCACCATCGCCGCGGTCTTCGATCGTCCCACCGTGCGCCGGCTTCGCGCGGAACAGCGTCTCCGTAATCGAGTCCAGCGCAGGGACGAGACCTTTACAAGTTACATTCAAGATGTCTTGTCTCTTTGCAAGCGCGTCGATGAATCTCTAACCTAACGCGACAAAATCAAGCACATCATCAAAGGAGTTGACGACGATACCTTCCAGATGCTCGTCGCTAGGAATCCACAGACCGTCACAGATGTTGTCCAGCTCTGTCAGGAGTACGACGAGTTGCGTAAGCAGCGTGTCTCGACGTGCAGGGCCACTGAAGATACGGCTGAAGTTTTCGCCCTCATGCACGACGTCACTGCTGATCACGCCGTCTTACTGCCCCCCATCAAACAATTCATTCGTGAAGAAGTTGCGCGTCAGCTTTCTCTTGTGGCCGAAGCATCCGCGCCAGTGACCTCGTTAGACCCACGTCTACGCCAGGTCAGTGAGACACAGGACACGCAGGCACTGCCTCCATCGCCATCTGTCCCTACGCCGCTGACCTACGCTGCCGTCGTTGCTAGATCCCCAGCTCCCACCTGTCTCTGGCGCACACCGGGGCACCGGGTCCTCCTACCCTACGACGCTGCCTACATACACAGCACCCCATCCCGTTTCGCCCCCTGCACCTTCTGTCGTTAACCCATGGCACACCTTGGATAATCGACCCATCTGTTTCGCATGTGGTTTCGTGGGACATATAGTACGCTACTGTCGCCGTCGCAACTTCCAGCCTCCAGACAATGGGAATTCTGCAAATTACCAGGCTGCCCAGAATCCCCAGCGACCATCTTCTCCTATCACCTACTCATTGTCCCCACGACGCCCTGTCGATTCTCACCGGTCATTACCACCCCATCGCCGATCTCTCTCCCCGATGTTTCGGCGCACGAGCTCGCTCGAGAGGGAAACTGACAGCCGCACTTCCGGAGGCAAGAACTGCGTCGTCGTCGAACTTTTGACCTCCTCTTTGTCCGACCAACGAAATTGATGTGCTAATAGAAGGTGTTACTGTAAGTGCACTTGTCGACAAAGGCGCTGTCGTTTCTGTAATTAGTGAAAAACTGTGTCACGATTTGAGAAGAGTTAACACGCCGCTTACGAAACTTGCTCTGCGTACAGCCACCTCCCATTTCATCGCGCCGACAGCTCAGTGCACAGCACGCGTTCTCATTCAAGATGTTTGGTACGCCGTCAACTTTCTTGTGCTCCCACGTTCATCTTACGACATCATACCAGGATGGGATTTCCTTTCTACCCATCAGGCCCTCGTCGACTGCGCTCGTGCTGAACTCACGTTGACGAATCCGTGCCTTGATATCGACCACCACAGTCCCTCGAAAGTGTTTGCCGCAGCTGACGTCCGCATCGCGCCGTTGTCCGCCGTCCTAGTGCCTGTGTTTTCCCTGCTGCCACTAACTCGACGGTCCTGTTCCAACCAACTATAGCTAGTGTGCAACACCGAACAATCGTCCTCCTGTTTGCCGTCATCAACTTTTCCAATGGTTCGGCGGTACTTTATGCGTGCAACGTTTCTGCTTGTCCGTACACCCTGCTACGCGGCGAGTGTCTGGGAAGCCTCGAGACCTTAAATTGTATTTTCGAAGACCCGATCTATCCAGACAAGCCATTTTTACCGACTTGTGCCATAACACCCGCAACTGACGCTAATGAACCTGTGGATGTATTCCGCAAGTCTATTGATTGTAACCTCACGCCTGGGCAGCAGGAACAGCTGATCAAGCTCCTAGTGTTTTTCGAGCCTCGTTTGACCACAATCAGCCTTCCTTAGGTCGAGTGTCACCTGTTGTTCACCGTATAGATGCCGGTCAAAAAACGCCATTACGGCAGCGTCCATATCGTGTGTCAACTACCGAACGCCGTGCCATCAATGAACAGATTGACGACATGCTAACACGTGGCATAATCGAACCTTCAAGCAGTCCCTGGGCCTCTCCAGTTGTGTTGGTGAAAACGAAGGACGGATCCATCAGGTTTTGCGTGGACTACCGCCATCTCAACCAAATCACGCGCAAGGATGTCTATCCACTGCCACGCATTGACGATGCCTTGGACTGCCTAGAGGGAGCCGAATTTTTCTCTTCTTTAGATCTGCGCTCTGGATACTAGGCAGGTACCCATGGCAGAGGCCGATCACAAAAAAAAACTGCTTTCATCACGCCCGATGGGCTTTACGAATTCACAGTTATGCCCTCCGGCCTCTGCAACGTGCCAGCTACTTTCGAGCGGATGATGGACTCTCTCCTTCGAGGCCTCAAATGGAACGTTTGCCTTTGTTATTTAGATGACATTGTCGTCTTTTAAACTGACTTCGCAACCCATTTAACCCGCCTCGAGAAAGTCCTCGCGTGCATTTCTGCCGCGGGGCCGCAACTGAATCTGAAGAAGTGCCATTTCGCCGCTCGAAAGTTTACGATCCTTGGCCACGTGGTTTCTTAAGATGGCATTCTTCCTGACCCTGCGAAACTTACAGCCGTTTTAGCGTTTCCCAAACCGACCACCATGAAAGAGCTCCGAAGCTTCATAGGCCTTTGCTTCTACTTCCGGCGCATCGACCACAATTTCGCGACGATCATCGCTCCTTTGACCAAGCACCTAGCCGGCTCTAGAGACCTTTCAGCCTGGTCCGCCACCTGTGACGATTCTTTCAATGAACTGCGCCGCCTCCTCACGTCACC